GGGGGGGTGGGCGGGTTGTAGGCGGCGGTCGGCGGGCGGAGAAAATCTGGCGGCAGCCGGTCGGCGGCGACAGGCGAGTGGCGGTGGTGGTTGGCGCTTGGCTAGTACTGGGGGTGGGGGCATGCGGCAGATTGTGGAGGCGAGCTAGGCAAAGGATTGTTTTGGCATTTTAAAAACAATCAGAAACATGTTTTTTCTATTTTTAGTATTTTAAAAACAAAAGTGTTATCCTAAAAAATAAAAAAACAGAAATCAAACAAAAAACAGAAAACAGATAAACAAATATTGTTTATATGTTTGTTTCCTATTTATTGTTTAACAAAAAGCAATAAACAAAATTGATCCCAAATAGTCCCTAATATTCCAAACTATGTGAAAAACATTAAAATGATTATCATGACACATGGAGGGATGACAATTGACAAAAGGGAGATTAATGAAGCCGTTTTATCTATTTAGAACATTAAGAATAGTTTAAAAAGAATTGTTCTCGTGAAACTGATGAACATATTAGGCAGAGCATTACCCAAGAATATTAAATACAGATGAAAGTATTATTCAAAGTTATTATTAAAGAAGAGGAGGATGAATCAAACAAATCAATCAACGGGAAATTGAGAAAATGAGATCACGCGGGCCTAAATTGAAAAGATGTTTCAAAAATAATTCCTTCACCAAAAAACATAGTTTTCTCTCTTGCCAGAAATGAAAGCACTAAGTTATTTTTGTACTAATGGTTGCCTGCTTATGACGAAGCATTTTTCTTGTACTTTGCTAAAGCAGATTCATTCGTCTCTTTTTTTTTTATTATTGTATAATTAATAGTTTCATGTCATGTTCGGCCTCCTAAGTCTATCCAAGGAAGTCTTTGTTTTATTTGTTGTGTGCAAGTTTAGAAGAGAGTATTATCAAAGTATACGCTTCAAGTGTGCCTTATGTGCTTCCAATGTGGTCCACACTGTAAGATCGTTTCATTAAGAGTTTTCTTTTTTTAAGCATATTTTTATATTTTGTGATTGTTATATTGCCATTTGCTTTTTGTTTTTTGTTTTTCTTATCTGCTTTATTTATGTTGGTATTTCTGGTATTAGAGCCCTGTTATGCGGAATTAACTCTGAATTTTGTGTTAATGGGAATTAATAATATAATATATTAAGTTGATTGCTAGCAGTTATGTGATGATAAAGTCGAATAGGTTTTAAGTAACTGATAAATTCTTGATTGATTCTCATATAACCATAAATGTTATCTTCTTTAGTAATATATTAAAGTGTGCATATGCAATAGTAAATTGTTGCGACTTCATTGCGTACAACAATAAGTCCCAAGCTAGATGGTAATTTATTTTTTATTTGCATGAGTTAGGTAATCACAGAGATCATTTAATTATTATTAATCTCTTTTAAGTCAAATAATAGCTTATCTGAACTGAGTAGATTTTTTTCAACGTGAAAATCAAATATGAAAATGTTGAATTGGTTGAATATCCACTTCTTGAAGAAGAATTAAGTAGATGGCCGATTCTAAAACCTCTCGACTCCTAATTTTTCTCTCTCCCCCCTCTACATCACTCCTCGCAACTCTTCAAGTGAAAATTAAATATGAAAATGTTAAATTTGCTGAATTGGTTTAATTGGTTGAAAGATGTCGGAAAACTGATGTAGAAGCTGTTGAACACATTCTGGGAACTCTACTGACTCTTGCGCCAGGTCTCCTTATACCCAGGAACTTCGCCAAATAACCGACCTTGCTCTCAATGTTGTCTTCGCCGTGATTTTATGGTTCTAGATAGGCTAGCATATCATCACAGCATTGACTCCATATAAGCATACATTGACTCCACATAAGCCAATGTCAATGCCACATTAAAAATGTTTGACTTAAATAATACATACACTTTACCAAAACATATACAGTTAACACACAATGTTAAGGAAACTAAGTACTATAGAACATAATGAAAAAGTCATAATTGAAGATCTTAAGGCCTTGAAAACCATCAAATTCCTCTCAAGCTTGCTTTGACCTTTGATTTGGATATAGTAGTTGGGCATCCTCCTCTAGCTTGAGACCTAGCGATGAGGCCACCACCATGTGCCACATCATATACATTATTGACATTATAATGCCTACATTTATTTTAGTACAAATGGAGTCAAATTTGTGTACCATCATCACTACTCCCTCTCCCCATTATTCTTTCATCCCACGACTCAATTGTCAAACTCTCTCTAATGCAAACTTTCCCTTTAGGAATTTGCTAAAGATAGCCGTTAATCTGATTTCTTATGACTCATGTCACGAGAAGCCCCCTGCTTAGACAGCGTGATCATGATTGAGAAGCTTCTGGATGCGTTGCCTGTTGTACATGGCATTCAAGGCATTTTTTTGATACCATAATTGGTATGAGAGGAGTGGGTGAGACAATAGTAATACATTAGAGAATAACTCAACCAATAAAGAAAGAAAATATTGATCAAATTTATTACTTCTATGGGTGTTTGATTGCTAGAATTCTCTTATGAAGAGCCAAAGGGGGGAACACGCCTCAGGGGACATACATATCTCTATTGGAGAAATGAATAATCAGACCAATCTAGTTTAAGTTACATGATCCTATGAATCAAAAAGGTAAACCAATAAATTTTATTTTGTTTATTTAAAGGTCATGTAACTTAATGAATGATTGCTTTGCAAATGCTTAGAGTGGTCACATTTAAAGAGAAAACTAATCGAGAATGACCACATATTCTTTGTTACTGGGGCAAACATGTATGATTGTTGCTATCTACACAACAATTATGATCGTTGCTATCTAGAGAACAATCATGAGGGCTGGTGTATGATTGTTCAACCGACAAGTTCAAATTTGAGTCATGGCTGTGTAGGAAAAGATCAGCTGCGAAGTTATGTTGGAGACCAGTTCTTAAGAATCCAAGTTATTTTTCTTGTGAACATTTGTTTAGGAATGACGGTAAATTTCTGATGGCAGACCTAAGCTTGTATAATCAGAAACCCCTGACTAAGTTCAAAGTACGGGATTAGGATCTAATTATAATATTCTAAGCATATTCGAAAGAAGCACAAGTAGGCATGGCGGTTGAATTCGATCAACTCGGCACGGCAGGGCAGGGCAGCTCATTCAAATGACTCATATAGATAATGCAACAAATATCAGTTCAAGCAAGCCTATTAAGCTATGATATTCCAGTAAGTTAATACGACAAGCTAATTTGGCAAGTCAGGGCGATTTCATCAGCTTGCTATGCTTCATAAGGCTCTACACATAAGAGTTACATATTCTTCTTATCTTTCAATGTAATTTTCTCATTCTATGTAGCCATTTATGCAACTACCTTTTGCCAGTCTTAAACTTATAAATAAGAGAGGCCATTCGGGGGAGTGGGACTTTTTTTTCCTTTCTTCCGGAAAAGCTTGTATAAAACTTCCCTTGTTTCAGGTTCATATTTAGAGATTTTCTCTGTCTACCTTCCATTTTTCTTACATTTCTCCTTTATAAGCCCTTGATTCGGATTCAACAAAGCTAATTTAAGACTTTTTGCCATTCTTGATACAAATAAGGATCTTTTATTGGAGGTTTAAGTTATAACAATTTGGAGTTTGCACCATGCTCCAAATAACTGCATTCGTTCCTTTTTTATGAGAGTTATCTTCTCAGACAATGGGGTCTGGTTGGTCCCTTGGTCAATGAAGCTATTAGAGCAAAATAAAAGAAGAAATTGCATACATACCCAAATGATTGAAAAGTAAGTTATCAAGCCCAATTGTAAGATTCATAAGCTATACATACTTTTTAAGAGTCATAAGCTATCAAGCCCAATTTTTCTTTGGAAAGAAAAAAAAGGTGAGAAGTCATAAGTTATCATTGTCAAATTTCAATACCCAGGAGGAAATGATGCATCATCAGTGGAAAGCAAAGCTCCAAATCAAGGGAAATAAAGGAAATTAGATAATGACATAAGGTACTTCAGATAAATGATTATAATAACCGAAACATTTTATCAAATCAACCAAATAATTGAAAAATACCAACTTAACAAAATGAAAATTAACTCATATTTCGTCACAAGCTGACATGAATTGAGTTCTATAAGGATACGATAACTAAAGTCATCGAACTCTAATCAAACCTGAATTATCATTGCATCTCCTATTTGTAGTATCACACAATGATTTATGGCTTTTCTGAGTGATAAAATCTTTCTTATGGCGAAAATTTTCTTGTCAATTTTGCAGGTTTCAGTTTGAATCCATTTCCAGTGTTCCAACAAAATCAATATTCTTTATTGAAAGATACCAAGATGTCAAAAAACTCCTTGTAGATACTTTCTTCGGTCCTCCAAATTCAGGCATATATAGCCCATCAGTCCAAAATACTCTGTATCTCATGGCAGCAGCTGTTCTTAACAGGTTTGTTTTTCTTCATCGGTTCAAAATGGCTGAGACATTATGATCAAATTTTTGTCAATATTGATTGTTAAGCCATTGGATTGGCTTTGAGATGAGTGCAACAAAAAAATTGGTTCGTTTCTATATTTGCACTTATCTCAAAGCTAATCTAATGGCTTTGAGACCCATCCCTGCCTGAACATTTTGGGTAATTTGCATACATACCGCTCAATCCTACGTGTTTACATATTCAACATCTAAACTTTATTTTTTTTACAATTATGCCACCAAAATCTTTCAAATCACATCAAAGATGCCACTTTTTTAACTCTTAAAAAGTGAAATACCTCTTTTCATGCATAGAAATGGTGGTATATATATATGTGTTGCGTACTCAAATTAGTTGGTCGGGCATCTGCTTGTCAGCTGTAAGTCCCCTCTAGTATGAGGTTCGATTTCCCCCGAGTTTAGGGTGTGATCTCGAATTATAGGCGCATGAGGCATGTTCGGGGCTCGTTTCATAGCCTCTGGCCATTCCTTTTTTTAATATATATATATAAACAATCTCATCGGGCTTAGTTAGGTAGTTTTGCGATATATATATATATATATGTATATTTTTTAAAAGGTGAAATCGATATTTGGTCCAGTGGGCACCAAATATCGATTCCCCCAAAGGGTTGAAAGTCCTGGTGTGTTTGCTTCTGATTCGAAGCACCAGCACCACGGGATTCGAACCCCCGACCAGACACACACACACACACACACACACAATTCATAGGAATTGAGTGTTATGTATATAAATCTTCCAATTTTTTTTTTTTTTTACTCTGATGTTTCTTGTTGGGAGTTTTTAATGTCACACTCCTTTGTTTTCTTTTTTCTCAGGTTTCCAGATATTGCATCTATTCAGATGAGAATGCCAAACCTCCATTTTTTGCCAGTCAACTTGTCCAGTAAAGATAATCCGAACTTGGTCAAAGTAATTTAATTCTTCCTTAATTCACATTTATGTTTACATTGTATTACCTCTAGTTGCATTTTACATACATACCGCTCAATTCTTATCTATTTACATATCTAACACCTATACCTCAATTTTTACACATGCCACCTTATCATTTGATATTTAAAGTGTTGAATTTTCATTTTTCCCCCAAACTTTTCTCATAATTATTGTTGCTTAGAAGATCAACAATATGAAAATTATATTTTGGCACCAGAAACAACATTTCTATTTGCCTGCTCTGAATAATTTGTCTTCTGCAGTTTGCCGATGATGTATATTTGCCAACGGATGAGCCTCATGGGACCATTGAAGCAACATTGAGCCGGCCTCTCTCTAAGCTTTAACAATGGTTTGATTTGTTCTCTTTAAATTATTTGCAAATAATAACGCCAGAAGATTTCTGCAATTAAACAGATTAATTCTGTTATTTTAATTTTGTTGTTTTTAGTATTTCTGTAAGACTGAGATTTATGAGCGTAAAACACCTAAATCACTTGAGGAATGAGATTGCTGATTTTTTATTTTATTTTTATTTTTGAATGGTGCACTATAAATTATAAAATATATGAAAAGAATATCAAATATTAAATCTCATTTTATTGGGTGATTTGCATATATACCTCATAATTCTAGTGTATTTACATATCCCTCATCTAGATTTTAATATTTACTTGTATGACACTCAAAGTTTAGATTTTGGTGCGGGGATGTTTGGTGTTAAGAATGAAATTAATGAAATTACATATTTTAACACTTATATTTTCATATCTACATACATAATATTTAAAGCATTAATATCACATCAAATTATTATTATTATCAACTTTTTCAAATACTAATACGCATTTTTCATGTTGGTTTATGACATCTAAAATTTTATTTATAAATATAATTAATAATTATTATAGAGTGGTATTTACATATTTAACCCAAAACTCTATTTATTTACATTTTAAATCACTCAAATCTTTTAAATCACATAAAAATTTCATTATTTTAAGTTTTACAAATGTAATATATATTTTTTCATGCATGAAAAAAATGACACACGTAAAAAATCAAAGTTTAACCTATACTTCAATTTTTACATGTATGTCAGGTTTTCTATGCATAAAAAGTAAATTTGTGATATTTTAAATGTGCCATGAAAGATTTGTGTATTAAAAATATAATAATTAAAGCTAGGATGTTAGATATGTAAATACATATATGTTAGGGGATATGTATGTAAGTGCTCTAGTCATCCGAATTATAAGCCGGATTCTGAACGCATTCAGGCGAAGATGGCCTCGTTGATTGGCCGTGCCGCCGCGGGCGCCGCTGCTCGGCGTGGTTTCGAGACCCGACATCTGGCTTTCCATCGCCGGAGACTCTTTGCTTCTTCTTCTCATTGTTCAACACTTGAACCCCCCGACGTACGCCTCCTCGCCGATGCAGCCCGCATATCGCTTTCCGCGAAAGAGGTACGGATCTCGCCCTTCACTGCCTTCATTTTGATCTGTTTCTAGCTTGTTTTTATACAGGTGGAGTTATCTAACAGTTTGTTTTTTTTTTTTTTAATTTTCGCTTGATTTTATTTCTTTCAGGTGGAGGAATTTGAACCTAAGATCCGTCAGGTCATTGAATGGTAATTGCCTTGCATTCCTACTTCTCTAACACTCCCACACTGGACTTAAATTTGTTGGAATTGTTTTCAATGTTAGTTAGAAGAAGTAGGGCCATATATAAATGGTGCCCTCAATTTCTGCCCGTTAGGACAATTTGGATTGAGGAGCATATTAGGGATTATTTTTCCGGCCTTGGAAGCTCCCATTCATCCTTATTTTAAGTTCAGTAGGATTTTGTTAGGGTGGTATGGAATGAAAACGAGATTAGTAAGAGAGTATAAATCCCAATAGAATTTTACATTTTAAATCATAAAGTATATGCAAATGTGAAGAAAACCATATTTTGCACTTAAAACTGTTGAGAAAATTTTCAGCTCTACGACCTTGATAAAGATATAAAGAATCTGCAAGAAGGCTCCAACTTTCTCTGGTCGAGCCTTTCTTGGATTCCCAGGAAGCAGCCATTAGCTGATTTTTGCACTTAGAGATGAACTTTCACCTTATTGTTCTCGATTCTTGAATGTAAATTGAAAGAAGCCAGCTTGAAAGAAAAGGAAACGAAGATTAGGAGAGGAGAAGAAGTGAGCTAGAAAAGAAATTGGGTCGTATTTTGATCAAGGGATGAGGTTGTATTTGTCGCCACATCTGACGGTATTGTGTAAACTGAAATTTACGCAAATAATGCTAAAATGAGGAAATTATTAACAACTCTATACAATGGAAAGGATTAAAGGAGTCATAACCTTAGTTTTGTTGTTCATACATCTTCAACAACTCCAAACAATGCTGAACTTCTGAGGAATTTCGAGCTCATGTCAACATATCTAATACATTATTATTTGTTGGATACCCTTCAATCTTCATAACATTTTGGTAGAGAATATTCTTTATATGTGGTCTTTTAGCACTTGATATTTGCTCAACTTAAAAAATTATGCTAAATGAGTAGAAACAAAGTTAGGAGTTGTCATCTCATATTTGGTCAGAATCTTTTGATGTACAACCTTTATTATAAGAACATTTCTTGTTTTCTCTTTTTTTCTTTAAATTTCCTCATGATTTTTATTATAAGATAATTTTTTTGTTATGATCAATATCCTTCATTTCAAACTCTAACTTGAGCAAAGTCTATTCATATCTTTTATGCAAATAAGATATCTTAAATAAATATTAAAAGATAGATAGTGTGATGCAGAACATCAACCCACAAATTTTTATGATCAAGATGAGCGAGAACCATGATGACTCCATCGCAAGATTAATTTTAAAGACCAAGAAGCTTCATCAATACATATGGAAATCTCTCTTAATTTTTCTCATATATTTTTAGCATCATTCTAAAGGTTCTCTCCATCTTACAACATGAAAAAATTTTCCCAAGCCACTTTGAAGTGGTTAGCCAAACTAGGGTAGTTATAAATCTAGTTTTGTCTTTTTGCTTTCACCAACCCTCCATACCATTTGAATTCCCACCAAAAACTTCATATATGGCATTTATACTCCCCTCTAGCATTTTTAAGCCTTTTAAGTCCCTAAAGATACCATTAGGACTTTTCCCCAATTCAATATTCCAAGTCTAACCAAAATCCACTCAAACTAGGCTCTTTAACTTAGTCTCCGTTTGGGGCCGCTTTTTTCAAGCGGCGCGGCCCCAAGCTGCGAAAATCCACTGTTTGGAATCCGACTTCGCGGCGGAAGGACACGAAAGTGGGCGGAATGCGGGCCGCGGGATCGACCCCGCGACCCCAACTTTTGCCCGCTAAATATTCTAAAATGCCGCACTTGCCCTAACGTTCTATCTTGTTCTCGCGCCTTCCCGCCTCTCGCCTTCGACCACAACCACGCTGCATGAAGGGCTCTCCTTCAACCAGGTATTCCTAAGCCAATCTCTGTACTTGTTTTCGAGTTCTTCTCACCATGATCTGTGAGAAGAGCCTTCGAGCTCCTCTCGACCAGGTCTCTCCTCCTTCACTTGTTTTTGAGCTCCTCTCGCCATGATCAAATGTGGATCATTACGACCAAAAATGTATTTTGCTTGCATTCATTTGTTTATCTTCCTCTTTTATTTTGCTCATTTTTAACATAAAGCACACACGATCCCTAGAAAAAAATTCATTTCCCAATCTGAGGCTAGCTAAAATCTTCTATGGAGCAGTAAATTAGTTTCAAGAAGGTTTTAAGTAATTGCAATTACATTGGTATATTCTGAATTTTTATGGAAGCTTCATAGTGGCAATCACACTGGTATGTTTTGAATTTTTTTGTGGAAGCTTCATGGTGGTGGAAGCTTCATAGTGTGGAAGCTTCATGGTGGTGGCCTTACTAATGTTGGAATGCTTTCCTCTTTATTAATTTCAAGAAGGTTTTAATTTCATAGTGGTGGCCAAATCTTGATTGAACAAAATTAGTAAAGTCTCCATATTCCAAATGGGGGGACTCCTATGCTTACGATATGACTAGGACACTTATGCTTAAATTTGAATGTTTTCTACAACATTTTTAAATATATGATTAAATTCTGAAACTCAAATAGTTCCAAAATTTGATCTATCAACTTGTGACTTGAGTGAGATAAGTTGTTGTTGGTGAAAGAATGATGGTAGTACTTGAACTAGATTTTTCTTTGGTTTTTAGTCTTCTTCTATTTGTGGTTTGATGAGGTGGACTGTACCTATTTTTAATTTTGTTGTGGACGATTTGTGAGTTTCTTCAATCAGTGGTTCATTGGTAGCATTTGAAAGAGATTGCATCAGTTGTTCGAAACTCTTATCTATAGCTTTTTGTGATTATTTGTTAATTCTATTTTGTTAATTTTAGGTTTTTTTTTTCCGATGCACTTTTTTCAATTTTTGATCCTTGATTAAACTGTTTAAAAGTGAAATTCTACTTTAGAAGTATCAAAAATGTCACTGTCGCAGTTCTGTTTTAAACTGTTTTACCATGCAGGGGTAGCATGGTAATTTTTTCAGAAACAACTACTCCACAGTTGTTTTCACATAGTTGCACCAAAAAGACATCCAGTTTCCCCGCAGCAGCTTCCTGGGGCAGCGCAGATGCAGCTGTGCCCAACAGTTTCCCCGCAGCAGCTTCCTGGGGCAGCGCAGCTGCAGCTGCGCCAAACAGAGCCTTAGTCTTGATCTAGCTTCCTTACACACCTTTAAATAATTTTTGTTATCTTCACCAAGAACTCTAGAGCACATATCCGAGCATTCCCTTTACATCTTTAAGTGTATTGATGCCCTAAATCCTCTCTTATGCACAACCCTAAAGATGAAAACCTGAAAGGGTGGTTATTGGACTTGTTTGCTCTTAAACCTTGGCCAGAGTAAAATTTCTTAAACCATCTAAGAGTGTCCCACACATAATTAACCTCCCACTACGCAATTGAAAGCTTTTGATAACCCCTTCTAAGGCTAGGTTATAGTGTCATTAATTATCTCAGATTCAAATATACACAAGAATCAGAATTGCTGCAGCTCAAGCCAATATCAAGCATATATTCATCATTTCTCTTATAGCATATTCTTGGAGATTGTTTCAAGCCATATGAAAATCTTTTCACAGAATATTTTGTTTCAATTTTTAAAAAAAATTCGTGCTAGTTAAAGTAGGAGTCTTCTCTAATTCTCTATCAAGAATGTTGTTTTAACATTCATTTGCTAAATCTGCATGCCAAAGCAAACAACGATGGCAAGAAAAAAATTATAGATGCATGCCTTACAACTATAGAGAAAATTTCAGCAAAGTCTACAATTTCTAGTTTGTTTTACCTGCCTTGCTTAAAGTGATAGTTCTTGGAACTAATTTTTTCATTTATTTTTCATTATAAGATCCCTCTTGAACAAACATTCAGGATGACCTAATTCTAAACACCACAATCTATACTCTTTTACATACTCAGAATATCCAATAAAGATACATGTTAAAGCTCTTGATTCTAATTTGTTATGCATAATATGAATATACGTAACCCAACAAAATACATGTAGCCTGTTGTAATCTTCTAGTTGTTCGTTATTCCTTTCTTACGGGTCTTGAATTCAATACCCAATGAAGGACAATTATTTATCAAATATGCAACTACACTGCTACTATTGTCTATAATGCCTTTAGTAGACCTCTATTATTCAACACACATCTTTACCTTTTCAGAAATGATTCTTTTATGGCCTTTTGCTAGCCATATCATCAAAGTGTCAATCTAGTTTTGAGATGTTGTGCCGCTCGCTCCTTGCAATACTTCTTGAATTGATCTAAGCAAAACCCAAGACTCTTGCCAATTCTCGACTTCTTATCTTTTCTATTTGAGTTTTGAATATAGTCTTCCAACCCTTGAATTTTTCTAGGCTTCATTTTTTTTTGTTTCAAGAAATATGCCGACAATCTTCTTGAATAATTATCAATAAAAGAAAAAATGATCTTGCTCCATCATGGGACTTCTTATATTACCCCAATGATTTGAATGCATATAATTTAGAATTTCCTTAGATTTATTTTCTAACGACTCTCAACCTCTTGGTAGAATTGTCCAAGCATTAGAATCTATTCCTTGATTAGATCTGAATCATACATTGATAGGACTTCAACACTATCATTAGTCTTACTATATAGTTGCCGCATCTTCTCCATCTCTAACCCCTGGTTCTTATTATTTCTATTTGGACATTAGTTCCTGAAAATTTTTTTCTAACAAAGAAAGCACGTCATGTCTTCTTGCGTTTGGCTAGGATCTTGATTGATTCTTAGAAATTGGCTCCCATTTTCTCCATCTTCCTCCATTTTAGCTATTCAGCTGCACTATCTTGATTAGATTTGACAATTCTTTGGTTTTTTTTTATTTAATGGGACATTTACATACATACCTCCCAATTCATATGTATTTACATGTCTAACACCTAAACTTTACATTTTACACTCATACAGTCATACCACTCAAATCTTCCATATCACATAAAAAAATACCACTATTATAAATTTTAAGAAGTGAAATACACATTTTCATGGGTGGCATGTATGTAAAAATTGAAGTTAAGGTGTTAGATATGTAAATACGTAGGAATTGAGCGGTATCCATGTAAATCTTCCTTTTTAATTTAATCCAGCCTTCATTTTTTGACACATCTAAGAAATTTTTTCCATAAAGCATATTGCAACTAAGTGTGCATACCTACTTGCTAATGAATTTAGTTAGAATAATTTCTTGATCTTCATCACCTATTCTCAAGGATATGCTTTCAAATAAAGAACCATTCGATTAAAATCAATGGGTATGCACTATAATAGCTTTGGTTGGTTAAGACTTGAGAGAACCCATTTTTAGAATTATTTCCATTTTTAGAATTATTTTTATCAAATAATTCCTCAATGCTTATATTATAATGATACCGATTCAATTATAATATTTTTTTATCAAATTATTCCACATAATTCACATGTATTTACATATCTAACACAAAGTTTGATATTTACATTTATAACACTTTGCTGTTATAAGCCTATGCATGAAAATGTGTATTTCACTTTTAAAAGTTATTAATAGTGATATTGTTTTTGTTATGTCAAAGATTCGAGTGTTATGCAAGTAAATATTAAAGTCTACGCGTTCTATATGTAAGTATATAAGAAGTGTATGGTATGTATGTAAATGCCACTAGAATATTAGACTCTATGAACTGTACCTAGTGCAAGTACTGTTGGAAGTTTGATGAAATCTTAACTTTGCTCTAAATCTGGCATTTTTTTGTCCTGTTGAAAAACTTGATTTCTTAACGACGAATTAATGATTCCAATTCCATACATACATACCACTCAATTTCTATGTATTTACATATCTAACACCCAAACTTCAATTTTTACCTGTATACCACCTTTCATATGCATGAAAAGGTGTATTTTACTTTTAGAAGTTAAAAAGGTGGTATTTTTTATGTGATATGAAGGATTTGGGTGGTATAAATGTAATAAGTAAATTTTAGGTGTTAAAGAAAGAAATACATAGATTTTGACAAGGAGATTATTCACATGGATAGTGACAACACGTTGGCTGATCTTTTTAATAAAGGTTTGCCTCTCACAATCCTCAGCAGATATGTTATTTGAATTTTCTATGTACTTGCTTAGTGGAGTTTCTATAATTATGTATGACATGTTGTTTGCATGACTCTTTTTTATGGATGATTTGCATACATACCACTTAATCCCTATGTATTTACATATCTAACAACTAAAATTCAAGATTTGCATACATATAAAAGACGTCTTGTGCACATCCTTCAACTGCATTCGAATCTGATGGTATCCTAACTTACGGTCAATCTGAGAGAATATTATAGTCCTAAACAATTTCATCCAATAGCTCATCGATCATTGGAATCTCTGTCTACTCGGTATCATGTGTCTCCTTCATGTTATGCCACTCGATCAAGAATCCCAGCCATGCATTCTCAATCACCATCATCATAGTCTTCACCATCGTGAAAGCGTTGCACCAATTGAGGTCACAGTTAAACACCATCATTTTGTCTCCCTCCTGAATATGTTGTAGTGTCAAAAATAGTACCTGATAAAATCCTCTGCTCTTCTCCACATGTTCTGTTCTCATCATTAATCTTGAATCCCCGTTCACCTGGAAAACTAACATAGCAAAAAGCATTGGAGCAGTTCGAGACAGCCCTCCGTTGGGATCCCAACCATCGTGGTTCACTATTCCAGGCCAAAATTCTTTGAAGCAATTTTCTCTGGCTCTTAATCACACTTGCTCGTTCTGCTTGTTGCGCTCATTCCAAACCACTAGATGTCCCGTTGAATCCGCTCCCTACTCCTTCAATTCATCCTGTCTATTTCCATTTGTTCCGGTTTTCCGAAGGTTGCACTATTCCTTCAAGTGTTGTCGTTCATGTCTATTCTTGATTCCTTGGCTCGATACTGCATCTCTCATTTGGCCTAAAGCAGTAATGTTGTCTTGATGTCTCACGAACCCTCTAGTTGCTGCTACTCGCATTTGTTCCCGCCGCCATCGCTTGATCCCGCGGCCGATGGAGGTGATTTTGCATGAATCTCCATGGTCTTCATCATTTCTTCAAAGGGTTACGAATTTCCTCTCCAAGCAACCCTCCATGGACACGAGAAACAGTCATCTATTTCAGATCAAATGTTTCTTATCTCTTTTTCTAATATTTCTTCAAAAGCCTCGACTCTCTTGATCACCATTATGCCCAGAACATGTTCAATCACGAAGGAGGAACTAATGTATCCTGAAATCTCATCATTGGCTTCCACGTAGTTGGAGTCATGTCTAGACAACAAAATCGAGTCCGGATATGCCCTCGGCTTCCCAAATCGCTTGAAGTGCTACTGTATCACGACTAGGGAATGCTAGATCTCTGGCTTGCTTCTCTGTTATTGCTCTGATCCTCGCCCGGCCTTCCTAAGCTTAGCTCTAATCCCGACTGTCTCAAGGACGGAGCGGAAACAAGAGAAAGATTGGAGTTACGAGTCTCTATACGCCGCAATCTTCAGAAACACGTTAGCGTTGTGATTTCAAAGTTCCTAGCTAGCTCAAGTCACACCTTAAGGATGCATGCTGCGAGCTCTATCGCGATTGTATCGTCTGAATGTGATCCCGGTGTGATCCTGTCGACGGAATCGCTGGATACCTTTGGTTCTTTCGTATGCTTTCGTTAGGTTGAATCGCGTGATCCCTTCAGTCTCACCATTTTCTTACATATTAGGTTTAATCACACGAAACCTTCATTCTCAGAAGTCCTAGTTCTAATTTCAGAACTCCTTCCAAAGCGCCTAGTTGTATGCAGCGCCCCTCTGATCTAAATAATAGTCGTTTATTGCTCTGATGCCATTTGATAGGAACCAACTCACTATAAAGACAGCTATATTTGTTCACGGTGAATCTTGTGTTGTAAATATTTTAGAAGAAACTTTGGAAAATGGAAATGCAAAGCTTGCTTGGCTTAGTTTGTTCCTTTTTTTTTTCCAGTCTTGCCACGTTCACCCTGCCTCACCTTTTGTTAAGAGATATTTCTTTATGGCTTCCCAATTTATTTATTTTTTTATTTATTGTAAGGGAAATTTACATACATACCCCTCCATTCTTATGCATTTACACTTCGGACACCTAAAGTTTGATATTTACATTTACAACACCTTCGTATTAAATATCTATGCATGAAAATGTATATTTCACTCTTAAAAATTTTAGTAGTACTTCTGATGTGATGCCAAAATTTTGAGTGTTATACATGTAAATGTGTTATATAAGCAAATATATAAGAGTTGCGTGGTATGTACGTAAATTCCCTTAATTCAAATGTTTAATTCTTTATTTGCAGCTCAGCACATCATCTATTTGACATCTATATCTTCACCACATATAAACATAATTTCCTTTTTGAGCCTTACAATCCTTTTATTTGAGCAGCTGTTCTGAAGGAGGTTTTAGTAGAAATATAAAAGTTTCTTCTGTAATTAAATATGATTATGCTAATTATTGTTCTTCCCTAATAGGTTTGGACAGCTTCAAGCTGTTGACCTTGAATCCGTTCAGCCTTCATTTCGTGCTGGTAAATGTTATCAGATCAGACATCATATTGTTTTCTATCTGCTTATACGAGCTTCATTTAAGCTTAGGGACATTTACATACATACCACCCAATTCATATGTATTTACATATCTAAAACCTAAACTTTGCTTTTTTTTATATTTATGCCACCCAAATATTTCATATCAAATCAAAAATACCATCATTTTAATTTTTGATTGGATCTAAACTTTGGAGTTTGCATTCTTACTGTTATAATTCCTGCTTTGTTTGCATGCAGTTACTGAACTCAATGCAGACCTCAGAGAAGACTCACCAGAAACATTCCAAAACAGGTGAATATTTATCCCAATAATTTCAACCTTCTTTTCCCAATAATGTTTTTAATTTGGAAGATTTAAATGCATACTACTCATTTCCTATGTATTTCCATATCTAACACCTAAACTTCAATTTTTAATGCGTAGTATAAAAATCAAAGTTTAGGTGTTAGATATATAAAACATATATTAAATTAATACGTCTTCAATAAATCTCGAGGCATGACACAGATCTCAAGATAACCTTTCGAGCAAGAAATATTTAAACTTGATTAAAAGTCGTTTAGAGCTTTGATTTTAGAGAACTTATAGTCAAACTGACTGGCTTGACGAGACGGACCCAATGGTGCCAACATTGATTCAATCTGAACCAAATCGAGCTCTGATCAAGCCATTAAATCATGTTGGAAGTTTTTTGAACACATTTGGGAGGTCAAATGAATGTCGAATCCAATGAGTTCGTAGTTGAATCGAGCGTCTCAACAAGATGATTCCAACAAGCCCAAGATCGCTCAGTTTCGATATCGTTAAGGCACTCAAATGTCTATCAAACGTCGTGTGATCAAGGAAAGCCATCTGAGTTGTCCGATCAAAGTAGTTCATACTCATGAATTAGTTGCACACAGAACTCTATAAATAGAGTCACATCCCTCTCATGAGAGGAGGAAGAGATCTTGAGATCTGAGAACAAACTTAAAGGCTTTGAGAATGAGCTGAACCAGCACTGCCGACTGTCGTTGACCACCGCCGACCTTCGTCGACCACCGTAGATCACCGCCAATCTTTGTCGACCACCTCGATGACCATCAATCACCGTCAACCACTGTCGACCATACCGACAGGACGCGACCAATTGCTATCGGTCGTTGCTCGTTCCTAGTAACAAATTGATCAGCACGTCGACGTTATAAATTGGGAAACCTAGTAATCATTTCTCGCCTGTAGGATAAGTAGTTGCAACTGTAATCATCTTTTTATAGTGAAACTCTTCAACTAGATCAGGTCCCGCGATTTTTTTTTTTTTTTGGGTTTTCCAAGTAAAAATTTCGGGTGTTATTATTAGTTATTTTTTTTATTCCGAGTGCGTCGAATCTTCGTATCACACCAAGACGATAATCTGCTACTCTATTTAACAACTTTGATATTTACACCTGTAACATTTTGATATTAAAAACCTATACATAAAAGAAATGTATTTCACCTTCAAAAAACCAGTGCGCGTTTTTTGATGTGTTTTTGAAGTTGAGTGGTACCTAAATATGGAAGTTTAGGTGTTCTATTTGTAAATATATAAGAATTGTGTGATATATATGCAAATGTCCCCCTAATAAATTATTTGTATTATTTTTAAAATTGATGCACATTTGATGCATTTATCTTAAATATTTGCAGGGAGGCAATATTGGCACAAGTGCCAAATTATGACAGCCCCTACATCAACGTTCCCAAAATCATAAACAAGGAGTGAGGTGAAGATATCTATTTATTTCTTTTCAGTTTTTTTCTTAGAATTTTAATATTTAATTTGTGCTCAATTACCTTGAACTTCTTATTACTCTGTAATGTATATTTATAACACTTTAATATTAAAGATTAGGACTTTTGAGTGGCTATGCATGTAAATATGAATATCTAGGTGTTATATGTGTAATTGTATAAGAATTGTGTGGTATGTATGTAAATGCTCCTTACCAAACTTTAGATGCTCTGAGAAATTGAAGTTTAACATGTCAATCATAATTAAAAAATTTATCAAATTAAATGATTTAATAAATATTAAAATATAATTTTAATTGTTATGTATTTATAGACCTAAAACCTAAACTTTCACATTTTATAGTAATAAAATGCCACTATTTATAACTTATTTTTAATTTATAATACACTTTTTTCAGGTATGGATTTGTGATTCCAAGATATTATTATATATGTAAATATATATAAAAACTTTATTGCATGTACATGTATGTTAATTTTTCATAAAAGAAATAGCAGAAAATAGCTCTACAATATCGAGATCTAATAATATGTCCAAAATAAAAGCCCCAATACAGCAAGCAATAACCTTGCACTCCAGCAATGTAACAAAAGGAAGATTTACATGCATACCACTCAATTCTTATAGATCTACATATCTAACACCTAAACGTCAATTTCTACACACAAACCACCGCACCCATAAATGTAAATGTTATATATATATAGATATTAATGTTATGTGACAGATTTGAGTGGTCTAAAATCTACAGGTTAGATATGTAAATGCATATGAATTGGGTAATATGTATGTAAATGCCCCTACAACTACATAGATTGCAATAATAATTAATTCATGATTTATAATGGTACTAGAATAACATAAACTTCAATTATTCACTTGTGATATTATATGCATGGTATTGAATGAATGCATATGTTTTGGTGTGATCATGGGATGAAGTGTTAAAACATATAAATATTAAAAGTTTGGGGGTAGATATGTAAATACATAAGAATTGTCTGGAAAAATAGCAGCTGCATGAATGATAAACTAATTTATATGGAAGGCAAAGAGGTGGAAACTTGGTTTCTTTACATAGGCAGAGTTTACTACAATTCAAAGCAGTACCAACCCAATCACCAAATTACACATCCCACCCTCTTTCTCCTAAGAAACAAAAGCAGCATTATCCCCAGGTTGCAGTGAGAGAAATAAATCAAAACAATAAAAGCCAAGCATGAGAAACCAACTATATATGTTCTGTGTACATCTGAGTCAAAATCTTCTCTAATCGTGCACTGGAATTATAATAATAATGGAGATGCGATCAAACCGTGTCGACGGACTCGACTAAATGTGACAGAGAGATTGCAGAAAGAATAATACACGACCAGAAATTCTGAGGTGGGACTATCTTGGTCTGCGACTCAGACTCGTTATCAACACACTGAGTGGAAGTTTCATTTTTTTTTTTTTTTTCGTTCGTTCGCGTATGCCTCGAGTTCTATGGTTAAATTTTGCCGTCCCCTTAAGCGAAATGGGTTGTCGAGGAGTCGTCGAAGTTGGGAACTCATGACAAAGAATGATTACATCATTAGTTGTAGATTTTCACAGGTTTTTCGTAGGTATGACGACTCTGCAAATACAAAAGTATTGAATTAAACTGTCAACACGGTTCCTATACTCATTCTCTTGCAAGAAAAAAAAATTTTGATAATAATGATAAAAAATTATTTGCTTTTTTTTCAGAAGTGCCCTCTCAGATTTATTATTTGCAATGATACCCCACTAAGAGAATGTAAAAATTAGTAGTGCACCTGATTAGCTGTATAAGCTCTTTTGGGTGTGGTGTCTGAATGCTCCAATCCAAGATATTGTTCCCAGGCTCCATAGACATCTCTCCTCTGCTGCATTAAAGAGGAAAAGAGCTCTTTTGAGAATCATTTAAGACATTAGGGGAATTTACATGCATAACACAATTCTTATGTGTTTAGATATCCAGCACCTAAACTCGGAAAAACTTTTGCATATGTTGTCCGGACGCAGCTGCGTGCGTCCTGACAACGGCGGTAATTCTCCGATCGTGGCAGAAAAAGAAAAAAAAAAACTATCAAATGTATCGCGGCCGTTATCCGGATGCAGTACCGTCCGGACAACATACGTAAAAATCGCTCCATATTTGTATGTATAAAACTCAAATCTATGGCATCACATCACTAATACTTTTAAAAGTGAAATAAATCTTTTCATTCAAGACCAAAATGTTTCGAGTGTAAATATTAAACTTTGGGGGTTAGACAAGTAAATAAAAAAAAAATGCGTTATTCATGTAAATTTCCCAAGAGGTTATTGAACAAACTCAACTAAAAGCATATCAGGCTACCTGAAATCGGCCAGCAATAATATCAGAATCTTGCAAGTATTCAGGGCGTCCAAGTGACAATAGCGCGAATTTCCACTGCATAAACAACACAAAATCACCCAGATTTCACAATAAGGTACACAACATAAGCCATTCAAATCTTTCAAATCATATAAAAAATAGTACTATAACCACTTTTTAAAAATGGAATACACATTTTCATGCAGAGGTTTAAAACACTGAAGTGCTATGTAAGCAAATATGAAAGTTTTAAGTCTGAGATATGTAAGAACATAAGAATTGAGTACTATGTAAATTTCCCTAAATGCAGGAGTCGGGAACAGCTATTAGTAATCATAGAGAGGTTTGGACAAAAAAGACCCGATTCGCCGATTATAACAGCCTATAGAGAAAAATTTTCAAGTTAAAAATGACATTAAGAAAAAGAATTTACAGTTCAGTCCAGCTTGGTTCCTTCCCTAGACTACAAATGAAATCCTCAAAAACTCAACTAAAGGAGCTAAACAAAGTTCGCTCCAAGCAGAGCCATACAGAACACTGCACTAACGCTCCAAATTCCTGCAAGACAAGATTCACCGCCATGCCTTGGGAGCCGAGTGTAATTTGACATATCACTAAGGAGCTAGATGTGCACACTCCACTTGAACAGGAGCCATGAAAATATGCGGAGATGCTTTGTTGGGAAGAATACTACGCAGTGGGATCTGATTTTAGCTCAGGCCGAGTTCGCTTACAACATATCCGCAAATCAGACCACAGGATGCACCCTATTTGAGATTGTGTGCCGGCGACTCCTACCGACATAATAGAATGGGTGCACAAGATTCAGAAGCTCCACGAAGAGGTTGGAAAAGAGATCACTAAGCATAATTACGTACTAGGCACAACCAAATAAGACATAGAAGAATGTAAACTTTCGAGGAGACCAAGTATGAATCCGGCTGAAGAAAGAGAGATTCCCAGCAGAAGAATTCATAAAACTCAAGCTCAAAACAAACAGACATTTCAGAAAATTTTGTAAGCTGAATGACAACAGCTATAAGATCAATCTACCAAGGGAATACAATGTTTCCGATACGCTCAATGCTGCGGACCCGACAACGTATCATGAGGCAGAGTTGCTTAAAACGGATCCGTGAGTCAAACTACGAAACACACCTTATTTGTGTTTGTGTACTGGCGGCTCCTGCCGACATCAAAGATTAATGATGAAGCTAAGGAAAGTGTGCACAAGATTCAGAAGCTCCACAAAGATGTTGGAAAAAGATCACTAAGCTGAATTACAAGTCCCAAGCATAGGCAAACAAGGCAAGAAAAAATGTGAACTTTCAAGAAGGCCTAGTGTGAATCCAGCTGAAAATAGGAGAGATTCCCTATAAGGGCATTCAAAAAACTCAAGCTCGGAACCGACGGACCTCTCAATGTTTCCATTACATTCAATGTCACGAACCTGACACCATATCATGAGGACCCAGGAGCTTCGACGAATGAAGTCAAAGCTCCCCACCCCGGAAGAGTGATGCGGGGCTTGGACTATAAGTTGAACCAATTGGTTCTGCAAGTGTGGAGCCAGTCCAACAAGGTGGTTGAACCGACCGACTATCTATTAGGAGGGAACTGCCCCCGTCCTCCCCCTGATTCCACACGCACGCCAGATGCCACGCCCTCACTGTTTCCAGTCGCCAGTCACCAGCATCCTCACTATTTCTAGCCGTTCCCCTGCTGTTCAGCCATCAACCACCTCGACCTCGCCATTGTTGTTCACGGATATTCCTACCCAACCCTGGCCAGATATTATTGTTTATTATGTTTGTTGATTGTAACCCTATTTGTTTTAAGTAATAATAATTGCTTCTGCTATTGTGATTTAGATTAACTCTGTTACCATTGTATGATGTGTAATATGATATTATGGAAAATATGTATGAAGATTTCACCATTTATTCCTCACCACTTAACTTAACAATTTAATTTAAATTAAAATCAACAGTATTATAGCTTAAAACCAAATATTAATGAAATGATCGAAATAATTCAAGAAATTTCATAATAAATTGAAATAATATAAATTGATTTGAGTTTATAAATTTACTTTTGAAGTTTAGCAAATAGCTTAGTTAACCTAGTTAACTGCATTTCATTTAGAGCACAATAAATTTACTATAGATTTGATTTGTTTACTTAAATTTTCCTTCAAAACGCATGCGAGAGGGTTTTATGACTCTCTTTGACCACGAGGGGCATTGATGACCATGGGAGCTTCAAATGAATTGTGTCCCGTCATCCCAAAATTAATCAAATCTATTAATTTTGGGATGAGGAGTCAATAAATAGATGTCCTGAGACATGCAACAACATAACAACATGCCTTTTTTCCACTAAATAGGGTCGACAATAAATCATTTTTCTCCAATGTATCGTATCGAGTCATATTTTCACTTAATTATAATAAATTTAGATCAAATTTATACAACATGCCCAAGTCATTTTAGAACTATCTCTACCTTTCTTAGCACAAGTAAAATCTAAAATATTCCTATTTGGGTCATCAGATAGTCAAAGTTTAATGTACCCAAACCATCTAAGGCAACTCTCAGAAATCGTGTATGTCATTGGGCTACTCCAACCCTTTCATGAATATATCATTTCGCATTTTGTCTCTAAGTGTAAAGTCACTCATCCGCCTAAGCATTCTCATCTCAGCAACACTTAATTTTAAGCTTCTCTTTTACAAGCCAACATTCTGCGCCATAAAATATTGCAGGTCTCACCCTCATCTTATAAAATTTTACTTGAAGTCTTGAGCTGTATTTTTTATATCACACAATGGGTCGATGCATTCCACCGCCTCAACCATCCATCCAACTTGAATTCTACTAAACATAACTATATATATCACCATCACTTTTAAAAATAGACCAAAGATATCTACAATGTTAACTCCTTTTTGTGACGATCACCCATTATTAAAACTCCGCCACTAGGTCTACAACTACTAAAATTATATTCCATATATTTAGTTTTAAATCTCAAACGAAAGTCTTTAGACTCGAAAATTGACATCCATAATTCAAATTTTTCTTGAACTCTCTCGTTTCATCCACAAAACAAAATATCATCAACAAAAAGCATATACCAAGATATAACCTCCTGTAAATGCCTGGAAAGAACATTCATACAACAACAAACAACAAAGCCTTTATCTCACTAAGAACATTGAAAACAAATGCAAAAAAATATGGGCTTAAAACCAATCTATGATATAATCCAATTAAAATAGGAAAACACTAACCGATGCTCTGTGTTCGAACATAAATAACTGCTTCAGTATACATAACCTTAATAACTTGAATACAAGCAATATCAACACCTTTTTTCTAATACTTTCCAAAGTACTTCTCTTAGAACTTTATCATAATTTTTTTTTCTAAAACAACAAAAATCATATGTAATCCTACTTACTCTCTCTTTACTTCTCCATCAAACCTCTCAATAAATGTGTATCATTCATAGAAGACTTGCCCAACATGAATCCAAACTGATTTTAAAAAAATTTTGTAATTGCGTCGCAATCTATATTCAATTATTCTCTCATAAATTTAATGTATGAAATTTCTTTATATTTTATAATCTCTTGTGCATCCACTTTATTCTTAAAAATAAAAAATAATAGATTATTTTATATTTTATAATCTCTTGTGCATCCACTTTATTCTTAAAAAAAAAAAACAATAGATTATTTCTTAAAAATCTATATTCAATTATTCTCTCAAATGAATTTTTAAATAATACTAAAAAATTTCGTAGGCCAAAAAATTCTCAGATCTTTCATACTTTTTCACTCTATTAGAATATCATCAGGCCCTATTGCTTTACCACATTACATTTTCTTTAAAGCATTCTCAACTTTCATTTTACTAATGCGGTGGTAAAAATAATAAAACATTATTATTATTTACGACATTAAGATCACTAAAGTCAAATGTATCTTCATAATTTTTATTGAAAGAAGTTATAAAAATATCTCACCTCATTAAAACACATTTTTGGTCTTCTTCCTTAATGCATTTCGTTTTTCTTATCTTTTTGCTTGACTAAGTTTTACATATATATATATATATATGTATGTGTGTGTATAAGTGCATATATATATGTGTGTATATATATATATATATTATATGAACTA